GAATTTAGAAAAGAAACCACCCAAGCCCCGCCCACTCCCTCTGACCTCACTTGTGATTCATGAGTTCAAGGTGCTAGCATTACAGCTAACACCTAGCTTACATGACACTAACATTAGCAGAAAATAGCCTATTTTTTCAGTGCTGAATGATGTTTGTGTGAGTTACACGGTCTAGTTTTTGTAGGCACTGGAGTGCTGACTACAGCTCTGCTCCTGTGAGCTGTCTTGCCATCTGCTGCTTACATAGACAGATGTCTTCATAGGCAGCATTTTACCCGAAATGGCACCTTAGAAGTGGCTGAAGTGGATTTCGGTACATTGACACAAATAGTGCTCCTAAAAGCACACCAGAAGCACACTACTGATTTGATTAGTGTTTGACATATGTACAAACTAATGTACTCCAATACATTGCACATACATTTTATGTAAAATAGATAACTTTGCCTTAAAATGCCGCCTAGATGCCTTAAAATGCCACCTAGATAGGCAGCTCGCTAGGTTTTGGAACCGAGCCCACTTCATTACTCTTCTACCATTCCTACGTCAGCATCTCCCAATTTTGCTCTTGATTGCTGAAGTACCAAATTAGTCCAGACCTGGTCTCACCTAAACGTTATGTAAACCACCCACATGTAGCGCCAGGCTCTTTACATCTCTACCTCTCTTCATTGTACCTTATCTCTCTCTTCCTCTTTTTCTTGCCCTCACATGTTATGAGGATGTTGTTGACGGGGTCTTTTTTAATGAGATATGCTGACAGGGCGTTATAAAGGAGTCGCCGAGGGAATAGGGATGGAGAGGGAAAGAGTCAGAGGGGTAGGTAAAGAAAGATTTTTTTTTTTAAATCCCTTGAAATGGAGAGAGGTCTTTCATCCTTTAGAGAAAAGAACTGTACTCGGTGTCCGTGTGTGCTCTCCACATATCATCTCCTTCCAGAACATTTCATACCTTGTCTTGTTGTTGTGCCAAAGCCTGCAAACTGACATTAAGACGCATGAAGCCCAAACAAAATCCCTTGCTAATATTTTGATTAATGAATATGTATTTTTCTTCACTCGCTGTGCCTGTGTGTCTCTTTCTTCTTTCCATCTAATGGAGCTCCTGGGGTGACTAATTTTGCTGAGGCACTGCTGCCTACTCTCCATCTTATTCTCCGTCAGGTGCAGACCCACTTTTAGAGCTGCCCTGAGAGTGTGGCAGGAGCGGGAAGGTGACCTGTGACGTCAAGTCAATGAAGCCCGGGGAACAGGTCTTGTCGCTCTACCAGAGATTCACTAACTCGTTTTTCTCTCAGACTTCATTTATTGTGGAAAACATTGACATTTTTGAAGGATTGATGAAATATTGAGTGAAATATTTGTCAAACTAATCCTTAAGTAGTTTGATGGCTATTAATACCTGACCCAAATCTGCTAGATAAAGTCCTCCCAAATATGCCTTCCAGTCCAGGCAACTGAGAGTGTTTTGACCTGGTATTTCTCCGTCTGTTGACATGTTCCAGCCTGTATTTGGCTCCTCTATGTATCTTGACTAATTGAAAAGCATCTACCCTGCCTAAAACGCTCAAAAATGCTCAATCCTGGGTTGCACCAGGTCTTACTTAAATTGGGACAAAGTTAGCTACAGCTTATTTTATAACTACTCGATTGGGTGCCACTTGGTTCCTAACACTTAAATCACCTAATGCTAAATTAAGATGTCTTAAAGGGGTCATCTTACCTTTATGGATCAATTAAAGGTGCACTAAGCGAATTTTGCCAAGCGATGTTGATATTTGAAAGCACCAAAACAAACACGCCCATACCCCAACAGGACCTTGCCCCTATTTTGATACCTCCGCCCCACACGTACGTACACAACCCTGGCAGCGACGATGGCGGAATCTGCTATGCCTGCTGGCCGCAACATATTCAAGCAAAAGCCAACACAGATTAGTTGTGTGAAACAAAGCAAAATCAACGTAACTCACCTATCAAAAATAAACAAAGCAACCTCGGCGCCCGGCAATATGGCAGAATAAGTCGCGCCTTCTAAATAAAATAGTTAATTGCCCGTTAGTAAAGTCATCGCATCACTGCAGCTACTGTTAGATGCTCCAGTTCCCATAAAAATCTGAGACTAGCGGTTAGGATTGCACACACTATTTGAGCATAAGAAACAAATTTGTTGCTGATTTGAAATATGTTTTTGAATGCGAGTTTGGCAGTCAGTTTTTGAGATTTCAGTATTTCCCCATTCGAACAGATGGACTCTTGTGTGCCCGAAATTGCTGCATTGCAAGGCATTGCAAATAATGGACTGACTTTCCTTGAAGGGGACTTTGACAGCAAACAAAGCAAAATCAACGTAACTCACCTATCAAAAATAAACAAAGCAACCTCGGCGCCCGGCAATATGGCAGAATAAGTCGCGCCTTCTAAATAAAATAGTTAATTGCCCGTTAGTAAAGTCATCGCATCACTGCAGCTACTGTTAGATGCTCCAGTTCCCATAAAAATCTGAGACTAGCGGTTAGGATTGCACACACTATTTGAGCATAAGAAACAAATTTGTTGCTGATTTGAAATATGTTTTTGAATGCGAGTTTGGCAGTCAGTTTTTGAGATTTCAGTATTTCCCCATTCGAACAGATGGACTCTTGTGTGCCCGAAATTGCTGCATTGCAAGGCATTGCAAATAATGGACTGACTTTCCTTGAAGGGGACTTTGACAGCATCCGAAATCACATACTTCACTGCTATATTGTAGGAGGAAAAACAATACATATACAGTACGCTTACAGTGCACATACAATAAACACTTTGAAACAATGCAACTGACATCACATGACAATGACAACATGACAAACGTAGTAGCTATACGTCTGGATTACATGCATACTACACACATTCATACTATATGTACTTTTTAACTGTCGTATACAGTTAAAAAGTATACTTGCCTAGAAAAGAAATGCCTTCTCAGAGAATATGCATTTTTAAACGCAACTGGTCTTTTTGGCCTCATATTACCCATAAGTCTTTGCTCTATAGAGGAGGTGGAGTTTGAGGTGGAGGTGTCTGTTGTTGGCCTGTTTCAGTTGAAGAAAAATGGCAAGGACTGAACAGGCATCTGACTAAGCCATTTTTAAATGAATGAGTCTAAAAGTTAATTGGTGCTGGAATGCTACAAGCAAACTGACACTGCATCAGGGGTCTCCAAACTTGGTCCTGGAGGGCCGGTGTCCTGCAGAGTTTAGCTCCAACCCTAATAAAACACACCTGAACCAGTTAATCAAGGTCTTACTAGGCATACTAGGTGTGCTGAGGCAAGTTGGAGCCAAACTCTGCAGGACACCGGCCCTCCGGGACCGAATTTGGAGACCCCTGCACTACATGATAAGAGGGTCTATGGTATCAAGTAATTCTATGTGGTAATCTGTGCCAGTAAAGGGGTTGAGATTGAGAGTTAGTGATGTTTACTGTGGAAAAACTGGCTTGATTTGGACTGTTTTTGAGTTGTTTATGGTGGGATAGTCAGGGATGGAGGTTACTGTGAGGTAGGCATGGGCCGGTATGAGATTTTGACGGTATTATAACCTTAAGCAAAAATATCACGGTATTTGTTACGACCCAAAACTTGTTTGATTTGTCTAGGAATATTAAGGGAAGGTAACATTCATAAACCTCTATAATAACATTTAGTATAGATCTTAATAGTGCATATCAAACGGTGGGCAAGTCATGAAGAGGAGAACGCTACAAGTTCAAACAGAGAAAAGACATTTATTCATTTCAACCCCAACCAATACACCAAGAAATATAAGCTTTAAATTCATCCAAAAGGGAAAAGTATATATATATTTCCAGTTAACAATAAACAAAAAGAAAAAGACTTGAAGATTAACAAACTCACCAAAGGAAGTAATGAAGAGAGCACGAGTGTTGCCAAATCAAAGAACAAATTAAAACAAAATTCTTCTAACTAAAGAATTTAAATCTAACCTAAAATAATCAAAATAAAATTCAAAACAACATCTTCAGCATGCTATTCGCACGCTCTAACTTAAAGGGGTCATATGATGCGATTTCAAGTTTTCCTTTCTCTTTGGAGTGTTACAAGCTGATTGTGCATAGATAAGATCCCTGAAGTTGCAAAGACTAAAGTCTCAAAACCAAAGAGATATTCTTTATCAAAGTTAAGACTCTGCCACGCCCCCCTAAAACGGCTCATTCTAACACGCCCCCACATATCTACCCCACTATGTGGAAATATTTGCATAATCCCGCCGCAAATGTGCACGCAAAGAAAGAAGGCATGGTGTCAGTAACCGCAGTTAGTGTTGAAGCAGCCATGTCAAGGAGACGCTGTGTGTTTCTAGGCGAAAGCAAAAGCACTTTATTTAGCCTTCCGAAAGTAGATGCATTTAGGAATCTTTAAGATTACTTACAACAGAACAGCAATGCATTTTATGGACGACCGTTTCGTGAACCTAGGAGAGGTAAAAAAGCATCATATGACCCCTTTAAAATATATTACAATAGAAAACAATTATTTCAAATTGTAATAATATTTTTCGATATTAGTATTTTTACTCTATTTTTTTAACACATAAATGCAGCCTTGGTGAGCACATAAGAGACTGATATAAAGACATTTAAAAAGCACAATGTTTCCAATCTTTTGACAACTACTGTATACGGTATGTCAAAAGATCAAGGAAAATTTAATTTCTCAATAATGTTGTGATGCCTAAATGAACTTGTAGCATTTACAAATAATGTTTTTACTCTTTAGCATTTTATTTCACTTTTATTTAGACAAAATAGTAAGGAATTTTAATATTAGCTTATTGGCCATTGGTGATAATTATAGGTTTATTGGTATTGGTTAGCCCTTTAGCCTTTTAAAACTGGTGCATCCTTAGTTTGAGGATTTTATATAGGCCTGCGGATAACCCATGCACACTTAACATGTTGCAATTCTGCCTTATAAACAAATATTTCCCTCTCTTGCAGACCATCATGGAACAGTTCAATCCCTGTTTGCGGAATTTCATTGCCATGGGAAAGAACTACGAGAAGGCTCTCTCAAGTAAGTACCCTCACATCACATCTCCAGACGTCCCCCGTTTCATCCGCACTCAGGCAGCTGTCCAAACCTTCCACGCCTTCCCATCCGGCTTTAATGCCACTTCATTTGAGGATGATGACAATATTTGTCATCCTGTCATTCAGATGGCCACACAGCCTTATCAACTCTCACACAGCCCGAGACACCTCCTGAGCTCAGATGGGTCGAACACAAAAGCTCAGCTGATGAGGGCATTCACAGAGGAGATAATGTGCCCAGCCTCACTGATAATTTGATATTTAGCCATTAGACAGTGGAACAATCAGACAACTTTGAAGGCTTTGTGCGGTAGGTGATTGATGAAAGCCAGACAATTGCCCATTGATGTCTGCGTTCACATTGGCAAATGTAATCTTGCTCCGGCAGCCTCGGGCCAACAGTGGCCGTAAAACCTTTAGGGTGACTTGCAAGAATACAACTTAAAGGAATATCCCATCTTTTTCTTTATAGCACTGTCTGTCTGAATACTCGATTCTGATTGGCTGGCAAGTATGCATTAAAACTGTTATGCACAGGTATTTCCAAGTCCGTTTAATCACCTATATTAATCCGCTGCTTTCATTGATGCACACACACAGAGAGAGAGAGGGAGATCGCACTGTGCACACACACAGAAACATTCAGGAGCACAGAAACTTGTCAACGCTGCCCTTTTATTAATCAAATAGCTTAGATACTGGATCGCTACATTATATTCCTCAGCAACGAAGAGGTAAAATCGCTGTTTTTGAAATAATCAAACTCACAGCTTCACTGTTTGTAGAAAGAGACGTGCAGGTAATTCACACATGCAACGTACATCCCTCTCTCTCTCTCTCTCTCTCTCTCTCTCTCTCTCTTAATTCAAAAATTTTTTATAATTCATTCATTCAAATAAATGTGGTCTTACTGCACTATTTCATCTATGTGTCTGATTTACAGCAGGCACAATACTAGCTCTAATGAGCCGTGACTGACAAAAATAACCATAATTTTTACCCTTCTGGACAAATATTGCGCTGCAAACATCATTAACAGCTTTAACTTGTTAATGCTGTTAAATGACCATGGTATAAGCAGGATAATGCATGGCTAGCTGGACATTAAATGATTTTAATGCACTCCGCGGAGGCCTCCGCTTCACATTAGGTGGTTCGATGTCTCCACATCATGCATTAAAATCGTTTAATGCACAGCTAGCCGTGCTTTATCCCCTACTTATAAAGGTGGAAATCTGGTGTCAGTGTCAGTGAGGTGCTTGCAATGGAAGTGAAAGGGGACTATCTATAAACGATCAAATCAGTGGTATTTTTGTATCATTGAGTATTATAGTTTATTAATACTGATATTTTAAAGTTTAATTTTATATTAAAATTTTTTATTTTAGTTTAGTAATTTTATTGTGAGTATTTGTCATTTTTGGTATTTTGGATTCTTTAGTGTGTTTTTTTTTTTTTTTCGTTTTATTTTTCTGTTTTAGTTAACTACAATAAATATATAGTTCAGTCATGAAACTCTAGATGGCGCATTCTGATGGGGTGTTAACGTAACCGATTGGTTCATGCTGCATATGCAGCCAATGAGCTTACTGCCTTGCATTTATATGGCTGGCTAGCATTCACTAGAGATTCCTGCAGCGCGCTTTCAGAGTTCTCTGAAACCCTCTACCTTACCCAGCTCCACCTGTATAGATCTGCTACGGGGTTATTTTATATGCTATTTGTGCAGCAGCAGTATGTCTTAAATACTCATGGCACCGTATCGCCTGCATTGGCAGTAGCAAGTTCCTGTACTTGCTTGCAGCAGCAGCAATAATCTACAACTACAGCAATAACCAACAGCAGCAGCGTAGCAGATCTGTTCCACCAAGACCAAATACATTAACATTGTCATATCCATCACCGTGCTAAAATGTTCCGAGAGTTGTCATGATTGAACTCTGGTTAAAATACTCACTGTTTCAATAGTATAGCCACAAGATGTAAATGATATGTGTTAACATTATTTTAGTGTGAATTTTACAACATTGCTGCCGTGACAATGCAATGCCATAAACACTAAATAACTGTAAAAACAATGTCAACAGTTTTACAGCTCAAATATATTGTATAGCTCAAATATCCAGTTTGGTACCTCACTGTAACCTCAATTTTTGCTTTTTTAAATTAAACAAGGACACATCAAAGTTATTTTTTGTGATATTCTGTTAAATTTACGGTAAAAAAAATATTTTGGTTCACTATATTTTGGTTTTATAGCCACAGTACATTTTTACAGCAAATTTCATCATAAAATATACTGACAATGTTTCCAGTCTTACTATATTTCTGAATATTTTACATCTTCTGTGGTTCAAGTAGATGGGTACACTATATTAACATTATGGTTCTCATAATGTTAATATAGTGTACCCATCTACTTGAACCACAGCTTCACTAAATACTGTAATGTTGACAAAAGTCAGAAGAAAATATATTTGTATAAAATGTGCATATTACATGTGATGTGTCACACAGAACTTCTGGGAATGTCTTTGTACTTCACTGTAAATTATATGGCAAATTATAGTATTTACTTCCAAAAACGTCTCGGTTACGTATGGTAACCGTCGTTCCCTGAAGGAGGGAACGGAGACGTCACGTCGGTGACCGACGAATTGGGATATCGCTTCGATAGACCAATCTACTTTGAGTGTAAACCAAACGAGCCAATGCACATTGGCATGCAATTATTGCATCCAGCTGCCGCTGATCACAGCGTGAGTATAAGTAGGCAGCAGATGCAGCGCATATTCCCGGTGTAACTTGGACCCGGTGAGTGCCGCGCTTCCATGCGCACCTCGGGACTCGGCCATAAAGCCAGTGCTGTAGCGGTCTCATATGTAACAGGCCGAGCGGTGTAAGTGCCGCTGCCACCGCCATATGCCCCAGGAGCCTCTGAAACCGTATCAGTGGGACCGCTGTCCTGCCCTTGAACGTATTCAAGCAGGCCAAACCGTAGAAATGGTCTGTGGATCGACAAGGATCGGAAGGATCGACACATGAAAGTACGCGTCCTTCAGGTCGATCGCTGCAAACCAATCTCGGGGACAGGGGAGATGGCCGCTTGCAACACGACAGGGGTAGTGCAGCCTGAATTGCGCAACCCACTCGACACTGGAACGACCACCGCTGAAGCGCCGTCTCGCCAACACAGAAAGCTTCCGAGAGCGTGCTGAACTCGTAGTTCTCTAAATAAATATAGAGCAGAACGATGTTGTCGCTCGGCTCCGAAGCGAAAAGCTGGTATGCATTGCACCTGCTGCCTTATTATACTCATGCTGTGATCAGCGGCAGCTGGATGCAGTAATTGCATGCCAATGTGCATTGGCTCGTTTAGTTTACACTCGAAGTAGATTGGTCTATCGATCGAAGCGACCAATTCGTCGGTCACCGACGTGACTCGGAGTGACCGACTGAAAGGGAACCTTAAATTTGACAGTATCTTATAGTAAAATTACATATAATGTGACCACTTAAAGTCATTGTATATGGTAAGATAACTTAGTTAACTAATTAACAGGTTTCTACTATAGCATTTTTACAGTCTTTCTTTTTTTCTGTAAAGATTCCAAACATTTTTTACAATGTACAAATCCCGTCAACTGAGCTTACCCTTATTGAATTCACAATATTCCTTTAGAGAGTCACAAAGGAAACCTGTTGGGCATAAATCCCAGCGCCCAACCGACTTGGGGATTTATGTAAAATCTGTGAGCCAGACTGCCCTTCAAACTCTTGAGCATTAAAGGCCGATTGGCTGAGGTGGTGAAAGACTCGTATCCTCAAAATGTGGCCGACTGCACACAGGGGTCCATATGCTGCCAGACTGCTGTCCATAGGTAGCAAGATAGAGTAGTAGCGCAAATTATACAGCAGTGGGGTAGAGAAGAGCATGGGTTTTTACCCAGACATGGCTGAAAGGACATAAAGGGAAGACACAGAGTTGAAAAAGAGATTTATTCCATGATTGACTACCCTGTACTGAGGGAAACTGATGTCTGGTGGGTGGTCCTAGGCCACTAAGCCCACCAGAATAAATCGTAATCCTCTTTTGCTCTCAGGCCATGTCTTTACCACCCTACCTCGTGTTTTAGGAAATTAAATCACTCAGACACAAAGTCAGCAAAGCTTTCTACCCCCATTATTTCTGACTGGTATTGTTCTTGCTGATTTGTTTTAGAGCCTCAGGCACAGAAAGATGAATGAGTGCAGTAGGAGGAGTGTGTTGTGACATGGTTCTTTCTCAGTAAAATAGAAAATTTCAAAGCCAGGAGACTTACATATATGGATGAGAATTGTAAGGATTCCAGTTCCACTTAACAGTCCATAAACAAATTTTGAGGAAACGTATTCAAACTATGGAATACATCCATTCTGCTCCAAATACTGGAGCATAGCTCAGCGTCTCTGGCCTTGGGAAACACAGTGCTGCCCACTGGGTCACCAACAAGTGCGCACAAAAAAAGGTGCCATTTTTAAGAACCACATGTGAGAGAGAGTATTGAGAGTAGACGGGGAGAAATTGGATAACCATAAGCTTTTTTCTGGCAGATTAATGGAATTCATTCAGAAGTTATTCATTTGAGAATTAGACTGCATTGGTCATGCTATATGAATGTTGTACTAAGTACTGAGGGCAATGAAATAATTGGATTGTGCAAGTTGTCTATTCATTTTGTTTGTATTATTTTGTGACAGTATTTCTCTCTCACATTCAGTTTGGTCTGCAAACAACCTAAAAAATAATTTGCTGTAGCTCTGTTGATTCAATATCTTGTTTAATACCGTTTCACACTGACAGATGAATGTAGGCGTTCAAGAACCGTTAATGGAACTAAACTTCATAGTCATGTTTTTTTTTTTTTGTGCGTTTTGTTTTTTTAATAATGCACCAGATTCTGAATAAGAACCAGTTTTCAATCACCAAATCCTACTTACAAAAGTAATTCCACTGTAAAAAAAAACTGAACTAAAGTTGCAAATTCAAAAACTTGATGCAACCATCTTCAGGACTTTTTACAGTTATTGAGCTTATGGAAAAAAATGTTGAATCAAATTCACAATTAATGTTGGTCTTTAATTTTACTAAACACAATAAGTTCTACAAACTCAAAAATTATGTTTTTATTTGTGTATTCAAGTTCATTAAGCCTGCATTTTAAGTGAAGCTGAGGATTGAAATAATAGTGATTAGTCTAACTTAGTTTAACTTGTGTATCAGTTTGTTGAGCAAACTGAAAAAAGTTTTATAAACTCATAAAGAAGCTTTATAACCCTATAAACGTAAAAATGTACTGAATAGAACACTAATCCCTCTAATGATGACTAATGAAACATAACACAACTTTTACAACAAAATATAATCAAAAACACTACATATCGCTGAAACATCTATTTCTTCTCAATAAATGTGTAAGTTTTAAGTTCTTGCTGTAATATTTCATTTAATTTTTATTTCAGTTTTAATATTTTAATTTAAATACTAAATTACATAAATTAATGTTGACTTTTATGTCATGTAAACCTTTTCTACATTTTATAGTTCAATCAACTTTTAAAATAAAGTTGACAAAATAAAAATTATTTTACAGTGTTAGCCTCTTCTTGATTCCTGTCAAATCAGTATATCAGCAAAAATATGAGTTCCTCTACTGGCCTATCCAACCTAGAAACATATAGGAAGAAAGAAGCAAAGAAACAAACAATGAAAAAAATTTAAAAAGTGCAGTGGGCCTTCTCTCTCTGTCTCTATATGAGTTCCCAGAGTTGATGGTACCATATGTCAGGCACATTTTTGAATAATTTCCTTGTAAATAAGCCCTGAACACTATCCACATAGTGGCTCACCTAGTGCAACTGTCTGCTTTGCCTTACTTAATCAGAGCCACAGCTGGTCTGCTTGATGAATTGTTTGCTCAACCGGTTTTTTTGTGGCCTTTCTGCCCGTGCCAGAAGCACAGGGTGGTTTTCCACAGGCTCTCAGTAGATTCAGATGAAGGTCCCGATTGATTTCTGAATGAGTTCCTTAAAGAATAGCTGACTGGTATCCATTTTCTCCATGCCTGTTTTCTACACTCACGCTCTGAAGGTGGTGAAGAGGCATTATTTCAGCCATGGTGCAGTGTGGGGCACGCTTACTGTACATTGCATAACAGTACCTGAGCTGCTCTTGGAAGTTTTGGGGGAAGACCAGTGTCTTGGCTTGCAGTTATAGTTTGTGGCAGTGGCTGTGTAATTCCTCAGTATTGTGTTCATAAGCCAAGAGTGACAGTCATGAAGCGAGTCCGAGCAGCTGATTCCAGTAAACATCTGTGAGGCAGGAGATACGGGTGAGCCCTTTATGAGCGGGCCACCTTTACCTCTTTACTGCTCTACTTATTAATGAGTGCCACCAGTCCTACGGAAATCACCAGCATATGTTGTTTGGCTGTTCCAAATCTCACACTTTCACTCAGTTGCTTATCTGATTCCGTTGGATGCACTATAAATGGAATAGGGAGCAATTTTGACACACTTTCTACACTGGACACACGGCTACAACTGAATTGCTTCATTATGATTAATGTAGCTGTCTGCATTGCAAGCACCTGTTTCATTTAATAACTTCAGTAAGCAGATGCCCTATTTCTTTTTTTTATTTCATTTTATTCCATTTTATTTTGATGTCCAACATATATACATAGAATACAGAGATTTTTTATTTTTTTTAAAGGGCACCTATTATGCCCCTTTTTACAAGATTTAATATTATTCTTATGGCTCTCCTGGATGTGCCTGTGAAGTTTCAGCTCAAAATGCCATACAGATCGTTTATTATAACATGTTGAAAAGTGCATTTTTGGGGTGGGTCTAAAAAGTGCTGTTTCAGGGGTGTGTTCCCTTACATAAAAATGAGCTCCAACTTCCCGCCCGACTCCAGAAGGGGGCAGAGCCTAGACGTCTCCGCTTTGCATATGGCAATAAACAGAGAGGAGAAGCAACATGAGCGAGAGTGAGAGGACCGGTATTCAGCCGTACATGTACGAACCGGACAGCAGAAGAAAGAATTTTTGGGGTGGGTCTAAAAAGTACTGTTTCAGGGGTGTGTTCCCTTACATTAAAATGAGCTGCAACTTCCCACCCGACTTCAGAAGGGGGCGGAGCCTAGACGTCTCTGCTTTGCGTATGGCAATAAACAGAGCGGAGAAACAACATGAGCGAGAGTGAGAGGACCGGTATTCAGCCGTACATGTACGAACCGGACAGCAGAAGAAACAATAATGCGAATGAACCAGAATGTCTCGGAATGGTAGTTTGAATCATTTATTTACTTGTATAGTTTTTCACAGCCGCTTTGTAACGATGGACGCGACACAGCCAATCGCACGCAGACAAAATGGCGGACATGGCACAACACACCGAGAGCTGAGGATATGGTAATACGCGCCTGTCAACTATAGCGGTGGGCGGGGCTACAGGATCCAAACCCCTCGTGCTGACCCCAAACAGTAGATAGATAGAGAGAGTGAGTGAGTGAGTGAGTGAGTTTTGGAGATAATGATATTCTGTATATTCTTTTTCACTGAAGTTGACATTTTAAAACCGTAATGAGGCATGGGATTGGAAAGCTGTGTGTTTGTGTGAGGGAGACAGATGGGCTGGTCTGGTAAAGAAAAAAGGGCCAAATTTCCATAGTCACAGGAGGGCTATCTTTACTCCTTCTAAATGTGTTTCCTCTAAAACTGATTGTGTTTCCTGTTGTGCGACAGACTCATCCACTCCTATAGCTTTTTTTGCTGCTCATTACTCAGCTGGACTGCCACCGACTTGCGCAGCTGAGAGGCGTCCCATCCTCGTGATGGGCCCTTTGATCATGGAATATACTGCTGTAATGAGAGATGAGAATGTTTGTGACATATTTTTCTACTTGCCTCCATCTTTTGCAGGTGTGACGTTTGCAGCAAAGGGCTATTTTGATGCTCTGGTGAGAATGGGAGAGCTGGCCAGTGAAAGCCAAGGATCTAAAGACTTGGGTGAGTCTCGCACTCCTGTTTTAGCTTCAAGGGAACAGGCAAACTGTGTGGCTTGATCCGACATGACACCACAAAACACGCACTAATGGAACCACATGCTCAGCAAAGTGCCGATGTTGCTTTCATTAGGCCCGACTGTCAGAATCTGTAGCTGAAAAGCTTTTTATATTGAACCTTTTTAAGTCGGAAGCATTTCAGATGTAGTTTATGTACTGGCGTAAATTATTCCTTGTTTCACTTGCTCAGTTTCTCCAGTTTGCGTGGAAACTGAAGTCAAAGGGCTGACTGCAGTGGATGGGAATTAATCTGCCGTGCTGCAGGGAAACTCACCGATGCATCATTTATGATCAGTTTAAAAAGCAGATCTAGTTCGAGGGCTATAACGTCTTGACATAGCATTTCACTTTCTGCTACAGGGCGGCTGTCAGAATTGTTGGTCGGTTCTTTGTTCTGTCAAGGATGTGAGAGTGGGTGTATGCTTGACCCTCAAGATGCTTGTTGCTTATGGAGATTGCTAGTGGTACGGCAGCAAAATCTACTTTGTATTCGTGATACGATCTCCATCGTCTATTGAACTTTCAAGCCCTTTTGGGCATGTACTGAATCTTCTTCTTACCTCACTATCAGGAGCCCTGAGTGAATTTAGACCCTAGTTGACTTTTGTTTGAGATATTTGTTGATTTTCAGACAGACTGTCAGTCTACTAATACAGACGGTATATTAGTAGTGGGTATTTTTCAGTGACTCTTTCTGAAGGTTACATTGTTACTCCAGTATATGGTGACAAGTGGCTAATATTATGAATGACTCATTGAATTATTCACTCAACCAATTGGGATAGTAAAGTGTTCATCGGAAGTGCACATCAGAATATTGCCAAATCTAGTATGTTACCCTGGTACTTTTTGCCTACTATGTTCTAAATACTATGAATTCGGACATAATACTCTTTTCACACTGCTTTACGTCACTATATAGTAGAGAAGTTTGCAGCCACAGTCTTTATGAATGAGACATTAAATCATTCGCTCAACTGATTCATTCAAACATACTGATTCATTCAGTATGAATAATAACTTAACAGGTGACTGTCTTTATGAGAGATAAACTCCCCCCTCATGTATAACGCAGTCGACAGTGTACTTCACCTCTCATTTGAACTCGCAAAAGGTATTAGCACTTGAATCCCACTCTCTCTCTCTCTCTGACTGAGAATGAATCACAGAGTGCGTCTCAGCCTCAGTCACAGACCCCCTGGACATACAACACAATGTGGCCCTCTCGAGTTACACTTCATATACACACAACAAATCATCTGTGATGTGTGAAAGACACTCCTATACAAAAATTCACTATGGTAACCATTCATTTTCAGCAAATTACCATGACAAATTTTCATTTTTGGGTGAACTATGCTTTTAACTGAAATTCAAACATTCATTGTTTAAATGAAAGATAAGTTAAGATGGTGTGTGTGTTACAAAACTAAAAACGTATTTGACTGATGGCTGTTTTGCACTGTCATTTTCAAATGCAGTTACATGTAGATAATGGACAGGTGTGGTTTGTGAGAACCTGTGCCATTGTTCATCAGCAATGTCACAATGAGTCATTCTGCTTTGATTAAGAGACGAGTGTGTGCTTCTCTCTCTCTCTCTCTCTCTCTCTCTCTCTGTGTGTGTGTGTGTGTGCTTTGATTAAGAGACGAGTGTGTGCTTCTCTCTCTCTCTCTGTGTGCGTGTGTGTGTGTGTGTGTGTGTGTGTGTGTGTGCATGCATTCATTACTCGAACAAAAGTGCCTGCATTATGCATTAAAGCAGGAGTGCTCAATCCTGGAGATCTACAGTAGCTGCTCTCAGTCTGCTAACATACCTGACTATAATTTTCTAGTGAACCCAAAAACCTTGATTAGCCGTTTCAGGTGTGTGATTAGAGTAGCAGCTGAACTCTGCAGGAAGGTTACATCCAGGAGTAATGTTAAGCTATGGACACACTAGGCTTCCAGGACCAAAATGACTTTGGACCCCGCAACAAATATGGGCAACAGGATGTGATGTCATGCTCTAGAGCAGTGATGGGCAAACTTGGCCCTTCCAGGCCACTTTCCTCTGACTAACAGTGTTGTTATTGTTAACTAAATCAAAAACTATTAATAATAGTTTTCGTTAATTGAAATAATGCTAAAATAAATATTGCGTGACCAGCTTAAAGAACTTTTTAAAAATTAGAAACGTTGCCTTTGCAACTAACTGAAATAAACTAAATTGAAGTACTAAAATGACTACAATTAAAACTGTAAAGATAGAAAATGTTTAAAGCACATAACAAAATTACTAAAACTTATACTAAAATTAAAATAAAGTGAAAATATAAAAATAAAAGCTTATTCAAAATAATAAATTGTAGCGAATTAGCTCATTCATGGGGAAATATGAATAATTAATCATAACTAGTTATATTAAATCAAATGAGAAATGGTGTGTCTGATTGGTCCAGACGCTACAAAATATTATTAGAAAATTTTCACGATTATCTAAACCAATTTATTATACCACAGCAAAAATAATATTCTATTAAAATATTAAATTTTAAAGAATTCAGTTGCATTTTTAAATTAATTGATAAAATACTAAATTTAAAATGTTAAAACATTCTTTTTAAATATTAACACATTTAATTAAAATGTTAGCCTTAATTTAGCCTTCAAAATATTTCTCAAGTTAACAAATAATTATTTATGTACAGTAAATGGCAGTAACAAGTATTCAAGTAAACCACTGTGAAACAGAAATAAATACTAAGTAATGTAATATACTTAATTGGCATAGTTTTCACTGCATGATTATTAGATCTAAAACTAATAATGTGGTTTTGATGGTGCCAGTTTGACTGAGAAGCAGATCTTTAATTAAACTGAGCTGTAAATTAATTTTTTGTTTTTCTTTAGGCCTAACTTTGTGTATATCTTGGATTGTTAATAGTAGTTTATTAACTAAAGTTATCCAGCCACAAGTAGCGAGTCATTTTCATAATATTTATTGTTTGATTTAACATTAAACAGTGGTAAGTGTGTTTTATTCTGCACATTTACACTGCAAAACCTACAGATATCCAATTGAGATTATACATTTTACTACCAATACTGCAGGAACTCTGCTATCGTTCCTTTTTTGGATATTTTTTTTTTTTCTTTAATTCCGCATCAACTTGGTACCAAAGCACTACTTCTTTTGACATCCCTAATGCAAACCAATGATGTTTATATACTTTATTTTGAGCCAAGAGGTCAATCTGTGACATTTAGTTCGGCATTGTTTATGCGGCTTCAAACGCAGCTCATCCAGCCAGAAATTAGAGTGGGAACAATTCTTTTTTTTGCCTCATGGCTCACACCCAAACTTCATTTGAGTTTTTCTGTCGAGTCTCTCCCAGAGGGATCGCTCAAGGTTATATCCTCTCCCGTGTCAACAACAGGACTCCACCTGCTCGTGAGAAGAGGCCCAACTCAAACACACATACCGCCGAGTTGTGCTCAGTCAGACAGAGCTTCACGTCATACTTTCTGAAATGATAAACTGGCCATTTTAAGTGCAGATACACTGCAGCACCGCTGCGACCGCCGACCACCGCCCCAGCGATAATGACGGGGTTCCTTTACTCTGCCGAACACTGAGCTGAAATGGAAGATGTGTCATTTAGTGACAAACGGCTTCATCTCTGTTTTGGATAGGAGATGTCCTGCGCCGTGAGGTGGAACTACATTCTTGTGGGCAATTTGCAGTCCTGTGTGTCTGTCTTTCTCAGTGAGAGAGCCATGGGGGTTCGCTTTGAGACAGACTGTAAATGGTTTCCGCCTACACACGCTCCTGCTTTTCTCTCTCTCACTTCATTCCTTGCTGTTTTTCTGATATTTCTCGCATTAAAAACCACACATTCTCTCACATACACACACTTGCATAAACATAGTCACGCACTCATAGTTGAGCCTGGGCAAATATCCTGCCTTCGTATATGGTGTCCTTGGATGCACAAAGCGCTTGCAGTGGAGAGCGCTCATTCTCATCTGAAAGTGAAGTGTGAGGGAGTGCGTACTCACACACACACACACACACTCTCTCTCTATTCCTCCCCCTCTCGCACACACTCCCACGCTCACTGGTTTGTTTAGGATAATGATGCCCCTGTCACCACCTCCCACTCATATCCTCCCACCACATCTCTTTCTCTGTGTTTTACTGCCTTCATTACTTCACTGTTATACTCTCAGCCTTACACAAGCAGACAGTGGTTGGACTGCACGTAGACGACACATCACAACACTGCGCACGCTTACCAAGGTTACGTCGTGTTTTCTCACCACTGTTTTGGTACCTCGTCACGTTTTAAAGGAATGTTATGGTGTTGCGATAAAGGAATAGTTAACCCAAAAATGAAAATGTACCCAACCTCAGGTCATCTAAGATGTAGATGAGTTTGTTTCTTCATCAGGAGAGATTTGGATGAATTTATCATTACATCACTTGCTCACCAATGGATTCTCTGCAGTGAATGGGTGCCGTCAGAATGAGAGTCCAAACAGATGATTAAAACATCACAATAATCCACAAGTAATCCACACGACTCCAGTCCATCAATTAATGCCTTGTGAATTGAACAGCTGTGTGTTTGTAATGAACAAATCCATAATTTAAGATGTTTTTAACTTCTATTGTTTCTGTTGAGTCTTCTATCTATAATATTGCTTTCTTCAGTGAAAAAGTCTTGTCTGAATCAGGGCAGAACAGTCCAAAAGAACAGTCCAAAACGGTATTAAACAAATGTGTCGGTGGATTTTGATGTGAGAGGACAACAGGGGGATGGACTTTTTCACTGGAGGAAGTGTTATGAATTATGGGTTTGTATTTTGGTCAGAAGTGATAGTTTAAAGTTAAAACACCTTAACAATGGATTTTTTTACCTTACAAACACAGCTTTTCACTTCACAAGATGTTAATTGATGGACTGGAGTCGACTTGTGAATTATTGTGATGTTTTTATCAGCTTTCATTCTGACGGC